CGTTACACAAACTTGCGTGTGGCTCCAACGACGATGTGCCGCCGCTGCATTGGAAGACGTTTCTAAGCTATTGGAAAGAATCAATGGCGAGTACATCACTAACCTAATATTTTTATAGTCAATATGGCAGAATAGCTAGACGACCCCTAGCATTATGTCCAATGACGTCAATAGTATCACTCAACCTAACGCAGAGGTTTTAAGATAAATATGAACAAGATAAGGCCATATATAACGCCCATGTCACCTATGCTGATAGTTGTTGGGAAAACTACACTCGACAGCTCCTTCGCCCAGTGACTTAGCAACGAGGTTCGGCGCTAAAGTACGCGGGTTCGAATCCCGCACAGAACAAGTATTTGTATGACCTACAAGTACTTGTTCCGGAACTTGTACTCGTACGGAAACCCCTAAGGGCGGAGTCCTATTCGAACTTGTCCAGTTTTTTTTTAATTTAAAATATACTGAATTCGTTGCTATCATAGAACAAAAACTTATACTGTGGTCTATAATTATAAAAAATATTCTGTATAATAAATGCTTACTGCATGACAACGCATTTTTTGGATATATTTGTAACGTTCACGTGCATGAATATCATACAGCGAAAAATAATACTTAATAATAAATAAAGACAAATGTCGGAAAAAAGTTCAACCACGAGTTGAAGCATAAAATTTCTCTTCCCGTTTTCTCCAACGCTAAAACGATTTATGGTTTATGTATTTGACCTCGCCGTGCCCCTGCTGCTGTCACGATCAAACTTACGCAAACAAGAATATTATATTTTCTTTGAAATACGGTTTCCTTAAATGTTTCGTCTACTGGTGTTATTCACGCTCACTGAAGTTTAAGTAAAAGGTATTACGTTTAATGTTCCGTGTACTTGTACTAGCTATAAATATACTTCAATAAATGCAAGCAAGATAGAGCTACAAAGGATTTCCACAAGAGGTCCTAGTGTGGAAGAAACTTTTAAAAGAAATGGAAGGCAAAGACTAGGAATACTGGAGACGTTCAATAAAAAGTGAGAGTGATTAAGAAACATGTAAAATGTAATTTCATTTTTAGATATAGTCACCTTAGTGTAATACACTAGTAATGTCTTTTTTCTAAAGTGAAAATTCCTTTTCTAAAGAACTCTAAATCGTGAGAACCTAATAACGCCTTCACTGCAGTGGCTACTGCTTCATTATCTTCAAATCGTGAAAACTTCTTCAGCATCGCTGTGATTTGAAGCTTAATTAAACGAGAATTTAAAACTAAAAATTTTGTACAACCGCCTGCAATATAAATTATCAAGAATAACTCAAAAACTATTGGTCAAACCTCAATCAAATTTATAAGTGACCATATGTGAAGCACCAGCTTTCAAATGAAAAAAGAATCATTGAAATCGGTACACCCAGTAAAAAGTTAGGGTGTAACACACATAAAAACACACCGTCGAATTGAGTACCGTCTCCTTTTTGAAATCGGTAGAAAAAGTGACACTAGAAAGAGACAAATATATAAATCTATAGGAGAGAATGAGATAGAATCTACACTAATAGAATAAAGTGGAAGAGGTTTTAAGTTTGTTTAAATACGCTAATCTCTTGAACTACTAGTCCATTTGATAAATTCCTTTTTTATATGATAGCCAGATTCACGAGTAATAGTTATAGGCTATCCAGTATTAGGCTACACCTCTGAGCTAGCCCTAAATATTGATTTTTGTTAAGCAAGTCGGAAGAAAAAGCGCTCCCGAACTGTTTTATCCGCGTGCGCTGGCGTAATGGTTAGTTATACGTAAATACTATGGTTCTACAAAAATATAGATCTTACCTTCACCTAAAAATAAGTCCGCAATACCGTTATTGTTACACATAAGGTATAAAAGGGTATTGTGTGACAAGAAAATTGAAAATTATAAAGTGATTTATGAGCGTTATTAATAGGCATAGTATATTTACTAGCGCAAGTTACTTCATCATCAAGCCAAGCTTATGACGATAAACTTTGCTCTTTATAGCATGTTATTTGGACGCATAGTTTAAGGCTTTAACTAGCCTGAATGACCTTGACGAAACGGCGATCGCAGAGATTTTAGCCGATGTCAACACCGTCTAGCAACTACGTTCTGTATTACTTATAAAAGTGCAAAGATTAATAGACTGCAGAGATGACAATTATATAAGTGACATACTGCCTGTTATGCTTGCGCATCACTGAGAATTATGTCGCGGTTACGCATCTTCAATTACATTGCACGGTGTGGTGCTGTAGCTTTGTCCGGTAGGCATCACGAGCTATCAAGTGTTCAAGTTTCAAGTACGTAAGAATTTTTATTATATATGTTAAATCGTATTTATTTGTATCGTATTAGTAGATCTGGGTCAAAGCGTTCGCTGTAAATATTTTCCCGGGTTTGATCCCCGACAGCACGAATGAAATTTGTAATTGCAATTTTCGTCAACACGCATTGGGGAAGCACGGCGGGCATTTCCTTGCCCTAAAACACTCTCAGAAATAAAAAAAGTGTCCAGTGCCCAGTAGAGGGACTTGTATAGCCTATTACTTTACTTTGTAGCAATATTTATATTCGTTTCAGATATAGAAAGGTACCTTATGCTGACAAAAATATTATGTGGAGGCGATGAAAACGTAAAACATCTTTGTACCTAGATAAAACGTTCGAAAGATTGTCAGTCATGTCATACGCCACATTTTCTATAGAGCGTAGAACATTGCAGATAGGGCAAAATAAAAAATAATCCAATATATTAAGGGAACTATTTATTAATAATATATACATTTATAGGTATTTATAATCAAAATAATGAACAAGCTGCAAGGTTCAACTAATAATGTTTTTTGTAAACACAATCGTAAAATTCCTGTTTTAATTTTTACCAATGGTTAATTGATGAAACGTAGTCAAGATCACTTCATATAAAATATATTTAATTAAAATTGACACG